GCAGATCCCCCTATTTCGAGAAGGCAGGCTTTGCAGCGCGTGTACGAAGCGAAACGAGCGAATGGCGGAAATTGACACGTCGTGGGCTGAAATGGTCATGTCAAGCCGGGCATCTCCGAGTAAAACAGGGATCAGTCGCTAGGGGGCGCTGAGGACTAGGCCATGGAGGGGGGGGTGGGGGTGGGGGGAGACAATTTCACATGAGGAACCAGATTCTTGCAGAAGGTCGTAACTTGGGGTGGGGTCGGTGGGGTGGGTGGGGTGGGTGGGGTGGGCGGGGGAGAATAGAAGGAAGAGAAGTTGCGCAAAAGTCTTCATTGTTCGGCGTTTTGCAACCTTAACCTTAAACCTTAATAATCCCTCCAAAAAACCCCAAACAACAATCAAATGGGTCATTTTCAATCCACGACTGTTTGTGGGACACTGCTGTGCGCAATCGGCCGCCGCGTTCGCCCACAAATATATACAGTCAATTCACTTTACGGTGTGTTCTGTGAAGCGCTTTGGGACGTCCTCCCGACGGGAAAAGCGCTATATCAAATGCGCGGATTATTATTATTATTATTATTATTTAAAGCAGATTTCAAAGTGATTCACTCTTGCTTGATGCATGAGAACGCTTTCGCTTCTGATCTCTGGAATGGACCAAAAACTTTCAGTACTTTCTCTTTACTCTGCCTTATCATCGCTTAGCTTTTAGTTAGTGACAAACTTTGCAATCGATCCAGGGCTTTTATCAGTCTTGATCCATTATTTAATAAACTTTTACAAACTTTTGCAATTGACTAAACATTTTCTTGTTTCCCCCCCCCACCTCCCCCCTCCCCACACACAAAAAAAAGCAAGAACCTGTATTTTTATACATATATATATATATTTCTATATCAGACTCCCTATTCAAATCTCCACTTGATGAATTCTGTGTATCGAGTGGGGTTTAAAGGGAAACACGCCCAAGCTACAAGTTGCATTTCATTTGATTTAAAATACAAACGCATTCCTTCCGAAACGTTTCTCAATGAGAGTTTGCAAATACTATATGGAATTCAATGCACTGGATACAGGGATATATTTGTGAGCTGGTGTGATGTCAGCCTGACTCAGTCGATTGCACTCTCTCTTGCCTTTGAGTCAGAAGGTTGTGGGTTGAAACCCCCTTTCAGGGGTCGCAGTCCAGGTTGACACTCTAGTGCAGTGCTGGGGAACGCTGCGTTGCTTATTATATATATTTTTTCTGGTCAGCCGAGTGTCTGACACGTTCGGAAACCCATCACCGCGCTTAAGAGCGTCCAAACCAAACTGAGAATTCCATGCATCCCACCCACACATCCAGAGATAGGTTGTTGGAATGGAATGCGCTCTCTCTCTCTCCCTTGAGGGATGCATCCTGTTTACCTAATTCCGGAAAGTATTAGGCGCAGGTTGGCAAGAACCAAGGGCTTGGGGACCCCAGAGTGTGCGTTGGGGGTAACTGCTGGACTCTTAACCAGCTTGCTTAAGGTGCCATCCTTCCAATGAGATGTTAACTGAAGTCCTGTCTGCTTATGGAGATGGGTGTTGCAAAAGAGATGGCAGCTTCTCCCTGCGTCCTACTTAGCCAACAAGTTAAAATGGATCATTTCATGGCTGTTTATGAGACATATCCGTGTGCAGATCAGTTGTGTGTTTGCTTTGAGAAATCCTCTTGACAAAGAAAGGTGATAGCAAATACTAGGATTGTTTTTTCTTCCTAAAGTGTCAGCCTTGCTCAGTTGGCAGTACTCTCGCCTCTCATTCAGAAGGTTAAGGTTGCAGGTTCAATTCATATGACAGGGATTTATGAGCTATTTATGACTCGTATTGTCAGATGTGCCGTCCTTCGGATGAGATGTTAAACCGAGGTTCCCATCTGCCACTCCAGGTGAATGTTAAAGGAAAGGGAGTTTCTTCTACTGTCCTGTCCAATGATTGACCAGCTGAAAAAATTGGTTGGTTGTATAAATTGGCTGCTGCGTTCACCTACAAATACACAATCTTTGTAGTAAATCTTGTGAGATATTTCAAGTTGAGATATTTCAATGTGATGAGGCACTAGATCAAATAGTAAGATTATTATGAACAATAACAGTAAGTATTATTAATAATAATAATAACACTTCCATTTGGTATGACATATTTCACATCAGGAGGATGTCTCAAATTGTTTCACAGGGTACACTGAACAATGTAGTGACTGTGTGTTTGTAGATGAGCATAGCATCCAATTTCGACACTGCAATGTCCCTCAAACAGCCAGAAAGTGAATGACTTTATTTGGGAGAATGTTGGCCATGACACTGGCAGAAATGCCCTTCTCTTTTCGACAAGCCCCGTTAATACGTATACATATTGATACTTTATTAATACAAAATAGTTGTATGCTTATTTTATGAATATGCATCTGCCAAACAGCACAGGTCAGCTGTTTGCTGGATTTTCTGTTTGGAGTTTCTCGTCGTGGATTGGGTGACCAATAATTTGGTCACTCAATCCAGGACTGTTTGTGGGACAATGCTGTGCGCAATTGACTGCTGTGTTTTGCCTACCAAATATACAGTCAATTCACTTTACAGGATATTCTGTGAAGCGTTTTTAGACGTCTCAGCAATGTGATGAGGCGCTATATCAAACCCAAGGATTTTTAAGTGTTCGTGGAGTCCTGGAGCGTATTGGTTAGATCTCTCGTCTCGCAAGCGAAGAGGACCCGGGTTCGATTCCCGGGAGCGGGCGAAACCTTAGGCAAGTTTGCTTACACACACGCCTCTGTTTACCCAGCAGTAAGTAGGGACCCAGGTGTTAGTCCATTGGCGGATCGCTTTAATAAATAATAATTGGTTGGAAGGAAGGAAGATAAAGAGGAGAAGAAGAGAGTTAAGAGCGTTAAAGACCCCACTGTGCGCAATTGGCTGCTGCGTTCCACCCACAAAACGCACAGTCACTTCACCGTACAGTATATATCCTGTGACGCGTTTGAGGCGTCTCGACGACGTGATGAGGCGCTGCATCAAATGCAGGGATTGCTATTATTATTATAATAGCTATTTCGCGGGCGGGGAGAGGTGCGGAGAGGGCGCGCGAGGGGGGCTGGGGGCTGCGAGTTGACTGACAGAAAGAGAAAAAAGTGAGTGAGTGGGTGGTTGGGGAGGAGTGGGGGGTGGGGGGGGGGAGAGGAAAAAAACAAGAGAGGGAGGGGGAGGGAGATGCGAGGAGGTTAAATTTAGAACCACGTGAAAACTTTGCACCTACATTGGAAAGGAAGTTCCTTTGAACGCCTGACTATAAAGACACACACACACATATATATACACATATATATATATATGTCTCGCAAAGAGGCGCACATTGATGGATGAAATGGGCAAAGGTGAGGGAGGAGGCAGGAGGGGAAAAAAAGGCTTTGAAACCAAAATGGAAAGAATAATCAGATTGCGTGGGGATGCTGAGAGTGGGTTGGAGGATAACATATTTGAGGGCAGCTCGGCTTAAATTACACCCCCCCTGTCAACCACCAACCCCCACCCACCACCCAAGCAACTGGGGGAGCAAACAGACAGTTGCACTGGCTATTAATAGACGTAGGTGCAACGATTGCGGGTGATTTTCGGATGCTTTAACGCTCTTCCCTCCCTCTTTACCTTCCATCCAAACAACCACCGACGCTCACTCGCTTGTGTTTATCGATCAGTTTCACCAACCCATCACTCACTCCTCTCTAACTGATCGATTTCACCAACACTCACTCACTCACACCCACTCACACCGTTGATCAAACTCGCCAACCCAACACTCAGTCACTCACTAATATTTATTTATTAATCAATTTCACTAACCCAACACTCACGAACTCAATCATAGTATTGATCAATTTCACTAACCCCCCCCCCCCCCGCCCCACCACCACCCCAACTCACTCACTAATATTTATCGATTAATTTCACTAACCCAACACTCACAAACTCAATCATGGTATTGATCAATTCCACTAACCCAATCCTCGTTCACTAATAATTATTTATTGATCAATTTCATCCACCCAACACTCACTCTCACTCAATAATATTTATTGGGTCAATGTCATCAATTGGTGAAACAAATGCATTGATGAGTTAAGTTCTCATGGGGTAGATTTTGCACCTGGAGGAGAATGGGAGGGGGGAGAGGGTGAAAAATCTGGGTGTGACTCCCTCATTGAGACAGCTAATTAGGGAGGGAGGGGGGTAGGTGGCCAGAAATAAAATCCAACCCAATCATAGGTCATGTACCGATGGAACCAACTTTCAAACCCAATACTTTGAATAGACTTTTCCACATTCAGAGTCCAGAGAGTCACATTCAATCACTTTCACCAAACGCTCTCTTTCTGGTTGACTGTGTGTGTGTGTGTGTGTGCTTTTGTAGCATTTTTTGTTGGGGGGTTTGGGTGGGTGTTGTTTTTTTTGGGGGGTGGGGGAGGAAATCCATATTTCCGAGAAATGCCACTTTCTAAACAATTAGTCTTTTCCTCCTGTTATGAAGTGAGAGGCAGATTCTCAAAGGGCTAAGGCATTGCATCTCAAATAGTTTCACGAATATATATATATATTTATGGAGAGATGTATATTAGATGTATTTATAGATACACGAGTGTGTGTATTGATTCATCACTTTTAAGACGAGGTCATAAACTTGACACCCCCCCCCCCCCCCCCCCCCCCCCCCCCCCATCAACGTGCAAACACGTCTAAAGGCGGAGTGTTTTGATGCTCAGTCGAGCAATGAATAAATATGGTCCATGTGTCTTTGACCTCGAAATGGATGAGGTTTGTCCCACAGGTGCATTGACAAAGTTCGCCACGTTTGCATTTAAGGAAGTGAGTTTTTTTTTCTTTGAAAAAAATTGCCCCAAATGACATATCATTTTTTTTGATCTTTCGAAAAAAAAAGTTACCCAAATTGATCAGAAAAAGCCCAGAAGCTGCTGATTTTTTTTTTGTTGGGGGGGGGGGGGGGGGGGAGTGAGTTGCACATGACAACTGAATCCAGGTAAGAGATGGAATTTTTATGATGTTGGTGGGTTTGGGGTGTGGGGGGGGTTTGGAAAAACCTTATGGTGACATAATCCACTGGGTTTGTAAACTGGTGTGAATGTGGTGGTTTGTGGACTCGGGTCTTGCACAGCAACGATGGAAAAAAAAACACACAAGAGAAAGAGAGAAAGAGAGAGAGAGAGAAAAAAAGAGAGGGGAGAGAGAGAGAGAGAGAGAGAAAAAATACTACAAAGAAACGCCATTTCCAGTAGCCAATTTCCAGCCAATTTCATTGCACAAATCAGCTCTCCAAATAGTGGACCCACATTGCTCCCAAGACGATGTCATTGGCAAATGTCAAACACAACCCCATATAGGCGTTACATGTTAAATATGACCGTCAAAGGACGTTGCATATAATATATATAATTGCATATAATTGCATTATATTCCTAGTGTGTGTGTGTCCCCCCACTCTCCACCCTAAAAAAAACCCTCTCTTCTCCATCATGTATTTTTCACATTTTAAAGGTTGTGGATCTCTGTGTGTGTTTTTTTTTGTGGGGGGGGTTGGGGAGAGCTGACAGGGGGTGGTACAAGCTTTCCAGAAGGGATCAGTTTCGCAATCTCCCAAATTGACAACAGGAGAGAGGTGTCAATATATATATATATATAGAAGAGAGAGAGAAAGAGAGAGAGAGAGATTATGTGTTGTGCAATTCTTACAAGGAATAGTTGCATTTAGTTCAATGCAATGTGCAATTTCTCTCTCTCTCTCTCTTTTTCTCCCCCCTTTCCTTCCCTCCTTCCCTCCCCCCCCCCCCCTCTCTCTCTCTCTCTCTCCCTTGAACTTTGGTTTCTTGAGAGAGAGAGAGAGAGAGAGAGCAAAAACGCGACAGTTTCGCTGCTGCCAGGTTTCCCAAACCCACATTTCGCAAAAAAATCACACGCATGTGTTTGTCTGAAAAGGGCCCAGATCTGTGTGTGTGTGTGTGTGTGTAAAAAAAGGAGACAGAAATAAAGAAGAGAGAGAGAGAGAGAGAGAGAAAAGAAGGGTTAAAGAGAGAGACACAGACACACAGAGAGAGAGAGAGAGAGAGGGAGGGAGAGAGGAGGGGGTTAAAGAGAGAGAGACACACACACACACAGAGAGAGAGAGGAGAGGGGGTTAAAGAGAGACACACACACACACACAGAGAGGAGGGGGTTAAAGAGAGAGACACACACACACAGAGAGAGAGAGAGAGAGAGGAGGGGGTTTGCAATGGGGGGAAAAGATATTGAAACGTTTGCAAATATTTTTTTTGCAGCGCAAACGAAAATGGGGAAGGCAATTGGGGGAGGGGAATAGAGAGTACATGTGTGTGTGTGCATGTGTGTGTGCATGTGTGTGCGTGTGTGCATGTGTGTGCGTGTGTGTGTGCATGTATGTGTATGTGTGAGAGAGAGAGAGAAAGAGAGAGGAGGGGGGGGGATTTAGGGTTAAAAGTTGGGCGTGGATTTCCTTGGAAATTGCAACCCCCCCCCACCACTGGTCTTACTCAGAGGGGGGGGGGGGGGGGGGAGTGTGTGTGTCTGTGTGTGTGTGTGTGTGTGTCAGTGTCTGTGCATTTTTTTTTGCAATTAATAAGAATAAGAAGAAGAAGAAGAATAAGAATAATGCAAAAAAAAAGAAGAAGAAATCGACCGAGTAAAACAGCAATTGGCTGCGGGGAACGGATGGGATCCTCCCCCCAAAAAAAAAAAAAAAAAATTTTTAAATAAAAAAAAATAATAATAATAATAATATATATATCTGTGTGTGAGTGTGTGTGAGTGAGTGAGTGAGTGAGTGTGTGTGTTGCAACTAAAAGGAGTTGGCAGTGGATTTGGCAACGCATGCGCGGGGGGAGGATGCCATATTGGAAGCAGCTCTCTCTGGCAAAGAGACATCGCTGCACACCCTGAGCAGAGGGGGGACAGGAGCGGCAGAGAGGGGGGGGCTTTATTTGGGGCAAAAGGGGGGAAACACAAGGGGAGGTTGCTCCCACTGCCCTACCTCCCTCCCTCCCTCCCCCCCCCCCCCCCCCCCCTCCTCCTCCCCGGACCAAAAACTTGCTGCTGGTAAGTCAGACCCCCCCCTCTTGTTACATTGCTTTGCAACACCCACTATACCCCCCACTACCCCACTATCCCCCCCCCCCACCCCACCCCACCCCCACACCCCCCCACTCCCTGTTCATGTCGTTTTCTTTTTCTGGCTGATGATTTTTTTTTTTGGGGGGGGGACTTGTCTGTGTGTGTGTGTGTCTATGTGTCTGTCTGTATGTGTGTCTGTCTGTGGCTGTGTGTGTCTCTGTGTGTGTGTGTGTGTCTGTCTGTCTGTGTGTGTCTCTGTGTGTGTGTGTGTGTCTGTCTGTCTGTGTGTGTGTGTGTCTGTGTGTATATGCGTGTGTGTATATGTGTGTCTGTGTGTCTGTCTGAGTGTGTGTGTGTC